ATCTCTGATGAATGAATGGATCATTGCCTCTGTATAGTATTCAGCAATTTTTACTTCAGAACAATTTAATTAGACTAAAAAATAAGGAATAATAATATTCACTTGCTAAATATATATACTCACCCGATCATAAGGGGGGAAAATCAATTTAATAGATACATAGTAACTAGTGGGTATCATTTTGCACAGATTTTAGCTTTCCTCTATTTAAGAAATTAATCTTATGTTAGTTATTCAAAGCTATATTGACATCTAATGGAGCAAATTGTAATGGAGCGGAGCCGCTCTGGAAACGATTGTTTTATTGTAATTCGAAACTGACCTTGATCTATTTATGAGGCATTGATTTATAATAGGGTAACATACAATGAATACTACACAAATGAATTAGTAACTGAAATACTTCTTTAATGTTTTGTGTGATAGACGTGACTTTTCGGTCTTTAGCATGGACCAAACGTTGCAGAGGTGGTTTTTGGGGCTTTTTAAAAATATCACATAAATCAAAATAAGGAGAAAATACAAAAAAAAAAATGAGGGAAAAGATAAATACATCACCTATTTGATGTCCCTCGATTATATATATATATAACAACAACAACAACCTTGTGGGATCCCACAAGTGGGGTTTGGAGAGGGTAATGTGTACGCAAACCTTACCCCTCCCCTGGAGGGCAGAGAGGTTGTTTCTGAAAGATGCTCGACTCGAGAGGAAGAATAGGAACAAGTAAATAACAACAACAAGGCCAAAAAAATGATATCAACAATGTAAGGAGCGGGGAAAAATAAATGGAAGAAAGCAGTAGCAATAGCAATAGCCACAAGCAGTAACACGACAGTTTACTAGCAAACTGAAGCGGAAGATAGTACTAAAACAACCTTAATACTGGCATTCTAAGAATCGAATACAATGTACTAGTCAGCTAGCTAATAAACCTGGAATAGATCAGAAAAACACACGACAACCTATTATCCTTCTACCTAATCTTCGACCTCCATACTCTCCTGTCAAGGGCCATGTCCTCGGTAAGCTGAAGTCGCGCCATGTCCTGCCTGATCACTTTTCCCCAGTACTTCTTAGGTCGCCCTCTACCTCTTCTCCTACCTGCCAGTGCCAGCCGTTAACACCTTCTCACTGGAGCATCTGGGCTTCTCCTTCTCATATGCCCGAACCATCTAAGCCTCGCTTCACGTATCTTATCTTCCATAGGGGCGATATAGATATATTTGACGATAGAATATAATATTGACCATAAAATATATTTTTTCTTTCTAAATGGTATACTAGCAAATATCGTAGTAGAGATGCATACATTTAAAACATATTATTGAGCAAGAAAGAAACAGGTTCCTGATGAGGTTGACTTTTGATATATATTGTGTTCATAATTATGCAGGGCTATTTTTTTCTGCTTATCTGAGTCGAGGGGATAACAAGTTGGACAGAATGGCATCAACTTTTGTAAGATATCTCTTTGAACATGTTGTCTGAGTTTCTTTTTACTTTCTGATGAATATATTGACCCTAGCTAGTGTACTTTGTGTCTTTAAGAGTTTGCTGTTGGATGTCCTATTTTCTTTTCAGGTAAAGTCCAATAAGATGAGGAGGATGGAGTCCAAGAAATCACACTCTTGGTGGTGGGACAGCCACATTAGTCCCAAAAACTCCAAGTGGATGCAAGATAATCTTGAACGTAAGCTTATTCACTTTAACCTTATTCTCAAATCCTTTCATCGTAACTCTTGCATAATGAGCTGGTTGGATTAAGATGGTGCGTCAAATAACAGCATAACTCATGATCCAACCTCTTTAAATTTTGGTCAGATTGTTATAACTGGGGCTAAATGTGTTTTGAATAGCGAGTAAAATGCCTCAATTCTATATTTTACATTTAAATATTTTTTTTATATTAACTAAAATGGTCAGAAAACAAAAAGTAAAAAAGGCGGTGGCCATACTTGTTTGTGATAGTAACTTTAGACAGTTTCATCCATTCATCCCAAAGGAGGAAAAATGCACTGTAAAAACACCTAATTTGGCAATTATAATTACCAAGTCGTTGCTTAGAATTTTTTATGTTGAATGGAGAAAATGGCATACAAGAAAATGACAAATAGGTCTATTATTTCAGAGATGGACCAGAATGTAAAAAGGATGTTGAAACTCATTGAAGAGGATGCAGATTCATTTGCTAAAAGGGCAGAAATGTATTATCAGAAAAGGCCAGAATTGGTCACACTAGTTGAGGAATTCTACCGCATGTACCGGTCATTAGCCGAGCGTTATGATCATGTAACTGGAGAGCTCCGGAAAAATGTTCCTTCAGATCTTCAATCACAGGGGTCAGGCATCTCTGACGTAGGTTCTGAACCACCCTCCAGGTTGCCCTCTCCAGATCGGAGGCCTAGCCGCCCTAAACCTGGTCCTCGTGCCGCTGGATTTGAATTCTTTCTTGGCACAGGTGGAAGCAGCTCGGATCTGGGTAAGGAAGGAGATGAATCGTCAACATTAGATTCTGAATCAGAATCAGATGATTCGTCTATCAATAATTACTCAAGTACACTGAGCAATGATGATGACCAAGGGTTGCGTAGGAAGATTAGTGAATTGGAGGTTGAGCTCCGCGACGTGAAAGAGAAGCTTCGAGCGCATCAGGAAGATATTTCTGAAAGCTCATTTAGGGGATCACATGTTGGCGGCAATGAGAATGCTCTCGCTAGAATAGCCGGATATGATGAAGAACTTAGAAATGCAAAAGAAAAGATTCGGTTATCAGAAGAAGAGATTAGCAGATTGAGAATTGAGCTTCAGAGGTATGAATCAGGGGACTATGCAAAGAACATCCATGAGCTTAATGTAGGACAGGAAGCTAAAATTTCAGACGAGGAGAATGCGACAGAGGAAGAACCACAAGTTTTGGACCCAGAATCTAAGATCCGTACACTTGAGGAAGAATTGAAGAGCACGATAGAGAAGCTTCATGATTCAGAGAAGGAGGTGGAGTGCTTAAGAGAGGAACTTAAAAGCAACGGATCCTCCAATAAATTACTTCAGGATCAGCTTGGATCAGCACAGAAAGATGTTTCTGGCTGGAAAGCCAAACTTGAGAGAGAGAAAAGAGAAGTCTCAAAGCTGCAGGACCGAATTGCGAGGTACAAATCCAATTTGTCAGACCGTGATCAAGAAATCAGAGGACTGAAAGAATCAATATCAAATGCCAACAAGGCTTTAGCAGAAGAAAACATGCAGCTTGAAGGGGAGATTACCAAATTATTAAAGGAACGAACATATTTGGAGGATAATATCAAAGAAATGGATCTACGCTGCCAATCATTAGAGGAGGATGTTAGACGAACTGCAGCGGGGAAAGAAGAAATGGAGATGCTGCTTAAATCTGAAATCGAGCAGTTAAAGTTTACCATTGCTGAGAGGGACAGCCATATTGAAGAACTGAACAGAAGCCTNGATAGCCATATTGAAGAACTGAACAGAAGCCTTGACACATTATCCCAGAAGTATGACGTACTGGTAACAGAGAAAGATGCCCTAAATGCCAGAGTTGCCTGCCTTGATGAAGAGCTAAGTTCTAAAGATGATCAGATTGATCAAATGAACAACCATTTGCACCAACTGCACATTGAGCATGTCGCGTTGATTTCTGAAACTGAAGGGGCCCGTAAAATGGTGGAGGGGCTGAGGTCTAGGGTTAAAGAATTGGAAAGAGAAGTAGAGAGACAAAAAGAAATAGTTTTGGAAGGAGCGGAAGAGAAACGGGAGGCAATTAGGCAGCTTTGCTTCTCTCTCGAGCATTATAGAAATGGTTACCAAAGGCTTCGGCAGGCTTTGGAACATAAGAGACTACCTGTAATGGCATCCTAAGTCCATTAATGATGGTGGGCAAACGTTATGATCGGGTTGTTTTTCATCCCTTTTTTGTCCAAAACACCGTTTCGCTGTCACCCTTTTTTGCTTTTGGTTTAGGGATCAGTTCTCCTTTGTTCAATGGTGAGCTTGGCAGCTCCTTTTGTAGTCATTTGCCTTTCAGTGATGTGGCTCTGTAATTGCAGGAATATGAGTTGTGGTTTATTATACACAGCTACTCTCCCATACATTTTCATGGTTCGAACAGAATCTGTTGTACTCTTCTCATTCAACTTTTATATACCCGTCATGGTATATTTTTACGGTATGAGTGATAAATGGTCCTCCTTTGGATAAATCTATGTGCTTAGATGACAAGAAAAGCTCCGTAAGCTAAAGCCAATTGGCAACAGATTTTAGAAAAAAAATAACGCGCCATGCAGGGGTCAAACTTAAGACTTTCTTCTTAGGAAACTGACACTTTATTTACTGAGCTATAGATTGGCGCCTTGTTATTTGGTTTTACATAATCATCATTATGCAATCACCAACTCTTTCACAGGAAATAAGTTTGAGCTTGATGCAAATTGCTAAAATATGTCAGTTAAATACAACTTTTTTTTTCTTTTCTTTTCTTTTCAGAAGTCGATATTATCCAACTTATTCAAAGTTAATGAAATGTGCTCTTAATGACACAAAAGCCGTGCGGCATCGAGTTGCTCGGGTGCTAGCCTAGAATTTACAGCAACATATATTGAAATCACAATTTTCTGAATTGCACTCGTGCTCACCATTATGGTCGTGGAAATTGCCAGCTATCATGGTCACATTTGTTACGCTAAAATAAATCCTATGCGTAATGTTTTACTCTTTTTCCTTCTTCTAATTTACGTTTTTTTTGGTTGATAAATTTTCTATTTTCTTATTCTTCAGGGCCATGCAGGCGTAATGCAGAAAGCAGTTTGAATAAATGCTCGAGAATATCCCAACAGAAGTGTCGTCACTATAGCCTTCCACAGACTTTCTAATAGTTTGTAGCCCAAAGGATCTCACTCCTATGGATCATCACCAACACCTGCGCTCAGAGGTTGAACGTAGTACGTGCACCAAAGAATATAAACAGCTGTAAGACCAAATCAACAACAAAATTGTAGACAATGGAATTAAGACTTCAAAAGTCATTTTTTTGCTCGTAAATGAAACTCTATTTCCCGCCTGACTTTCAATACCTGTCAAACTGTGCTCAATGTTCCCTTCATTGACAAGAACCACGTGTGAAAACACCAATACAACATACAAAAAGGGTGTCGAGGCTAGCAGCTCCTTAATATATTTTCTGGTTTCTATTTTTTCCATGTTAGATGTTTCTTGCACTACAGATTTACACACCCAAACATTGTAGCAGCACACATTGTAGCTTCACGGGCTTGCCACTGCTTCAATCCATCAGTATAGAGGCACATAAGATGTTGACAGCAAACATCAGTCATCCCAAGCATCATCTGCAGCTCCCTCCTTTTTGATCATCGCTGGGGTAATCATGTGCCTATATTTATCCTCCACATTTACCGCAGACTCCACTAAAGAGAGTTTAGACAATGTACTCCTTGCTTCTTTTTCGGCAGCTGCAGCCTCTCTCTCCTTTCTTCTAGCAGTCTAATAATGAGACAAACAAATAAAAAAAGAGGAACCCAAAATGGTAGACAAAATAAATGAAAGCTAAGAAACGCTCATCACGACAAGAAAAAGGAAACCACGCAGTACTCTGAGATGGAGAGCGTGAGGGAATTAGATACGGAGACGAACAGAAGAATGATATAAGAAGCAAAGAGGCATACCTTTCCCATAGCAAAGGTCACATCATTACCAGAACCGATATCAGCAATTGCTCTTCGTATTTGTGCCACAAGATACTATGAAATTAAACCAAGTAAGACAGCAGGAGTCAAAACATCAACATCATTATTAGAACAAGCCAAGAGACAAAGTAGGTATAGAGAAAGGAAACACCATATCACGATCAGTGTAAAATGAAGTAGCTCGGCCCGTTGATCCTGCACGACCAGTCCTTCCAATCCGGTGTACATAATCTTCCATGGTCTAAATTAACATAGGATCAGATATATCAACGTTTCGCAAGTTCCATGCACTGGTAACTGGTTAAAAGTCTAATAATTAGGTGGGATCAGAAAGCCATCAGCATGAGGTCTTGTCTACTCATACTAAAGGTAACAAATTGAACTTTTAGACCTATATAAAGTAGATAACTGAAGAGTTTCTAAGGGGAGAACTTAAGACGACTATCAAAAATATGCCAGAGTTAGTAGAATAACATTGTGAAGAGAACTAAAGAATCAGACTTGGAACTGCTCGTCTATGCAAGTGAAGCTTCTAAATCTATGTTATTATTAATAAGATTGGATTAACTATCCAAAAGTTGTACCTTCAATTTTAGCAAGTTTTTATAGTGTGTTTACATGATAAGTGTTAGAGATAGCTATGTAAATGTTAGAGATAGCTATGTAATTGTCCCACATTGGAATAG